GTAGAATCAAAGACTTTTGGGAAAAGTCCTTTGTCTTCTTCTGTCAGCAGGATAAGAGGAATCTTTACTTTTTGGGTGGATTCATCTTTTCCTTCAAGTGGCTGGTGAGAGAGTCCCAATAATTAGCTACTGTGGGTTCATCTTCAGAAATAAGATCTTCATTGGGATCTTGTGCATAACTAGCTAGACAGGAAAACTGATTACCATCTTGACTGGTCTGGCTAGAGACTGATATCATAGAGGTATCATCTCTTACTGTCGATGTGGAGGAATCAAAGGTTGTAACAAATTTATTCCTCATAAAATCCATGCATTTAACTATTAAATCTGCTTCGGTAATTAATGGTTGTTGCTTTCTGATCATATCTTTAACAAGTTCAAATGGGTTAAAGATTTCTGGTTCTGGAATAGTTAACTTTGGAATCTTATCCATGTATTCCATTGTTTTCTTTCTGATATGATAGAGGAGGGCTTAGATAGGGTCTTGAGTCATGCCTGACCACCATCTGTAATAAAAGATCCTCTGAAGGACTGGTAACTTATCAGTGGTATAACCACATTGGAAATCCCATTTCCAAATCCAAGGGATTCCAAATTCAGTAAAGAACAATAGCGTGGATTTCCTTACAGGAATATTTTCCTGTCCCCTTAATTGAGGATGAAATTGTTGCCATGGCAAGTATAACTGCCTAATAGATTCGGGCAAAATATCCAAATCAGGGCCAAATATAGCCCACCAGGGTATAAACCAGTTTGGAAAATCAGTCTTAACTGATTGAGGGCATATCTTGAAGAACCAAGAATGCTTATGCTTCGGATTTTGATAAAAGAACGAATATGTCCAAGCTGAAATATAATCCCAATAATTGTAACTGTGACCATAGGATATTTTCCTTGGCAAATTAGGATTTAATCCCCAGTCACTAGGCCATATAAGCCTCTTAAAGATAGCTTTACTATAAGTAAGAGGACTATCTTTGGAATTCAGAAATAGCTTCGTGTGGTTGATTTCCACAGAGGAAGTTTCAGTAAGAATGGCTTCATAGATATATCTATGGCGACCATCTGGTGCAGCATATTGTTGAGTTTGGAAATATCTGGATTTTACTTTCCAAGGGTCTGGCATCCATTGCTCATCCTGAGAATCCAGTACCAATACTGTCTGAATATATCTTTGATTAGGTATCCATGGAGTTTCTTGTTCAAGAACCTCTTTCATGGTTGGTTTCTGTTGTGTACTGCTGCTGCCTTTAGAAGGTGTGTTGAGCAGATCAGCAACATGATCCAAATATGGAAATTGATCATCATTTAGTGGTATAACCACTTTGGCCTTAGCCTTGTTTTTGCCACGAGCCTTTAGAGTATTACCCTGGCCCTGCCCATGGGGGGGCTGATTCATGAACCCTACAAAAATTGACGAGTTAGAAAATCAGGTAAAGAATTAGAACTGCCTTTAATATATTCAATAGAAAAATCAAAAGCAGATAAATCAGCTTGCCAACCAGCAAATATCTGTTTGGAAACTAAATTCTTTACATCTTTTTCTAGTACTTGTTTAGCAGCACTACAATCAATGCGTAACAAGAATTTCTGATTGATTAAATCATCTTGGAATTTATAAATGCATTTAACCAAAGAAAGAATTTCTTTTTTAATGGTTGAGTAATTCAATTGTGCATTTTTCCAAGTTCCTGAAGTGAAGCAAATAAGCTCCTCTGTTCCTGTATTTGGATTCTTCTGTTTAAGAATACCACCATATCCAATATTGGATGCATCTGTTTCCACAATTTTGAACCATGAAGAATTGGCTAGAGCTAAGCAAGGAATTTGTTTTGCTCTGAGTTTAATCTTCTGGACTGCCTTGGTGTGTTCCAAAGTCCATGGGGAAGGAGATTTCCTTAACCTGGTGTACAAAATTGCTGTATCCTGTGCAAGATCTCTGTAGTGATTTCGAATATAATTCAAACTACCAAGAAATCTCTGAAGTTGAGTTTTATCCTTAATTTCATCTGAAAATTTAGAAGCAAACTCAATACTGCGATCAATAGGTCTAATTTTCCCATCACAAATTTCATGACCAAGAAATCGGACCTTAGTTAAAAATAGTTTTAGTTTAGGAGCAGAAACTACTAAACCACTTCGGTAAATAACATCTTTGAAAATTTTCAAGTGTTTATAATGCTGATCGATTGATTTTGAAAATATGAGAATATCATCAATATAAACAATAGAAAATTCAGTATAAGGATTAAATATGTCATTCAAAATATGTTGAAATTCTGAGGGGGCATTTTTTAATCCAAATGGCATTACTGTCCATTCATACTGTCCAAAAGGTACGCAAAAAGCTGTTTTGTACCTGTCCTCTTCTGCAATCTGTACCTGGTAATATCCAGATTTAAGATCAAATTTAGAAAAAATTACTGCAGATTGTAACCTATCTAAAAGATCTTTGATGTTGGGAATTGGATATCGAATCCAGCTCAAAGCAAGATTGAGTGGTCTATAATCAATAACCAATCGAGGAATTCCTCGTTCTTTTTCAGCATTTTTATTGACATAAAAAGCTCTGCAACTCCATGGGGAGTGGCTGCCAGTGACAAGCTTCTTCGCTATTAAAGAGCTGATTTCAGTTTTGCATAATTCCAAGTAGTCAACTTTCATGTGGCTGGGACTAACTTTAGAAGGAATCATGAGATCGGTAAATCCCTTTTCATAGGGTAAAGAAACAATATGCTTCTTTCTGGCCCAAAAAGCATTAGGAATCTCACTACAGATTTCCTTTAGAAAGTTTTGTCTTATTGACTCAATTTTCTGTTGCTCAGTGGGTTGTACCAATCTTTGATTAATTGCTAAGGAGGATACCTCCTTTTGCAAATAATTCAGTTGCTTTTTTTTAAAGATAATGTTATCTTTAAGAGCATTGATATGCTTATTTACTGGTGGGGTCAAAAACTGGAAAGTAATTGACTGGCCATGTTAATTAGAGCATATTCCATGAGAATCAATTTTCTCAATTGGCATGATCAAAGCTAGAAAGGGGATGCCCAAAATAACTTGTTGTGCCATATTTCTGATGAGTAAGAAAGTAGATGGTAAACAAATACCTTCTTTATAGATGAAAACATGATTAAGTTTATACTTAATCTGCATCTTACCACCACTTGCACTGGTAAGACCTTGGGTGGTTTTCTCAAAATATTGAGTAGGAACCAATCCTTCCTGTATACAGTTCATATCTGCACCACTATCAACTAAGGCAATAGCATTAGTGATGGTGTACTCTTGATTAATTACCAAATTGATAGATATATACCATTTTTGGTAAGTAACTTGATTCAAGAGTTGAAGATAATTCTGGCTTTCGGATTGAGGGACTTCAATCTGGGATGATGAAGTTTCAGTTACAGATGTTGCTTTCAAAAGAGTAATTTCCAGTTCCATCTTAGTCTGACGAGACTTTAACTGACGAATTTCTTCTTTTAAAAGATTAATCTCCATTCTGAGATCAGGGAGATTAACAGGACGTGAATTCTGTCCTTGGTGTTCTAATCTACTTAGAACTTCTTTCATGCTGTAATGGTTTTCTGCTCTCAGAAAATCTGGATTATCAGTATCCTCATGAGTTCGTGCTAAAGCAGAACCTATTTCAAAGACTTTTATCTTGAGTTGAGGATCTTGGATGTGATCTATAAGATCCAATAAGGATTGTTGAGTCGAAGTCAAAACATTTAAGCTTAACCCATTCGTTTCAACAATTGCCTTATAGTAATCATCATGAGAGGGATTACAGGAGCATTTTGGATTTCCAACTTTTGCTTCAGAGGAAGAAGAAGACTGTAATTCCATAACAACATCCCCATAATCAGCTGATTATTCTGATTCAGAAGAATTAGTATTAAGTAACAATTTACTTAATTGAAGTCTTAGTTCATCTTCTATGTGAAGACTACTAAGTTTCTCCTTAGTTCTGCACTTGTTTGCATAGTGGCCTATGCGTCCACATTTGAAACATTTAGCCTCAGCTTTGGGCTTCCCTTTACCCTTTGCTTTAGGAATATATTTCCTTTTAGACTTAGTATACTGTCTAGAATTATCCTTTTCCTTGTCATTGTTGAAGAATGTTTATATACAAGGGAGAGTGCGAGGGTTACAAATTTACAATGATGGTGGGGGATACAGGATTTGAACTATTGGATTCTCTCAAAAATTGTGGGCTCCACCATCACAGCATGGGCCCGCCATCTGTGAGATTGGTGTAGAACAGTCTCCCTCGGTCTTTCCATCCTTTGACTTTTACAACCTTTCCTGGGTATAGAACACCGATTTAATAAATGAAATAAATAACTTAAAAAGAAAATCTTGGTCCCCAAGACAGATTGGCTGTGTCGTCCAATCAAATCCAGGCTTTGGTTTCCAATGTGTCACGAAACTTCCTAAGACACCCCTCGTTTTGACAACTAATTCGCCACGTCACCCAAGTCATCCTATATATATCCCATGAGACTATATCGTCACTATGACTACGAGTTAAAGCTACCTTCTCTCCGCCCCCAAAGGTTCCTTCGTCCCCAAGAGTTCGCCAAGAAAACGCACACAGAGAGAACAAACCCTAGATTTTCTTCGAAAACGACATACAGGAGTGCATGTCGACTCAGACCACTCATAGGTAAATTTCTCTTCTCAATTACCCACAAACATATATATTCATTCACACACGCATATATGCATACACATGATCTTCGATCTCATGCGCTTTAAGTCTATATATGCTTTGTGCTACTCTGTTTGATTTTGATTTTGATTTTTGAGCAATACATAAATATCTATGATCTTTTGTTTAGAAATTGTAGCCTAATTAGTTAATTCTTCTGAAATTTAAGTTCATCAGATTGAAGCACTATATATATATATGTATGTATGTATATATGATTTTATTTTTCTAAAGCACTGTAATTTTTCTAAATTTCATGGATGCTTATGATTGTTGCAACAGAAAATTGCGAAGGATGCGTGAGGGGCGTGAAACTGTGGAGGAAACTCTACTAAAATGGCAAAATTACAACCAACAGCTTGATTCTGCGGGCAATGGAATGCTGCGGCGCAAGGTCCCTGTCAAGGGCTCGAAGAAGGGGTGTATGCGCGGTAAAGGTGGGCCCAAGAACTCAGATTTCTGCTACAGAGGAGTAAGACAGAGGACTTGGGGCAAGTGGGTTGCAGAAATTCGAGTGCCAGTTCGCGAAATTGGGCAACCCAGCAGGTCAAGAAGACTCTGGTTGGGGACTTTTCAAACTGCTGTTGAAGCAGCCCTTGCTTATGACGAGGCTGCAAGGGCTTTGTATGGTTCTTCTTATGCCATTCTGAACTTTCCTCAACATTGTGCACACCCAATGGAGTTCTCTGATGACCCTATGTCTTCAATTAGTACTACTACTACTACTAATGCAATTAACACATCAACAACACCACCTACAAAGAAGATCAAACTGGATGCTGAGTCTGATGCTATGGATACATCAAATCTTTGCTGTGATGTTACTGTGGTTGAGGGAATCAAGATTAAACCTGAGTATGCTGTAGAGATCAAACCCAATTGTCCTGAGGCTTATGGGAATGAAATATCAACGGTTAAGCTTGAATATTTCCATGACACTGAAGCTAAATTACTCAACAAAGAGAATGTGATGGAGAAAAATATTGGCGAAGATAAACTATTTGACAAAAAGAATGTAATAATGGAGGAAGAAATTGGTGTTACGGATTTTAGTAGCTCCAACAACGGATGTGATTACCAGAAAGAGATCAAGGAAGAAACACCTGATGTCAAGCCTCCGGGGGCAATAAGCACTGATGAGGAATGCTTGCAGGGTAGACCATTTAGTCACTCTATTGAGTTGCAAAATGCTCAGAAAGACAATTACTACTTGCAGAATTTGCCTGCAGAAGAAACGGTGGACAATAAACCTTCAACCGCGATCAGCTCAGATGATTCAGATTTTAGACAAGATAGAAGCTGCCCTTGTGGTCAATTTGGGCTATCTGATGATCACAATTCGCAGAATCCTGACGGACTTGACTGCTTTATAATAGATGACACATTTGGCATTGAGGCTGTTGAAACTACATGCACCAGTAACTCTGATTTGGGACTGGACAAACACCATAGCTCAGTTCAATTCGGAGAAATAGATAAAGGCCAATTGGGTAATGAAAATCAGTTTGATCTATCTGACCTATTGAATAACCCAGAGGAAGTGGAATACTTGCGGAAGATTATTACTGAAGGCACTTTTGAGATTGAGCCTTCGGAAGAAACTAGCACAGGTGATTGTAAAGTGAGGCAGCAAGAAGGACAGAATGATTTTGGTGAAATGAAATCATCTAATGAAGACCTTTTCTTGAAGAATGGTGGTCATAAATTTGTTGATGGACAATGTAACTTGCAGAATTTGTCCACAGAAGAAACATTTGAAGACAAGTCTTTTGGGACAAATGACAGTGATCACTTTGGATTGAGACAAGGAACAAATTTTGAATATTATCAATCCGGGTGCTATGATGAAGGGGAATTGCGTTATGGGTTGCCTGCCAGTCCCTCCTATGAGTTCCAGAATTCATACACCAATCTGCAGGAAATCTTTGAAGATATTGATTCAGGTTTGGGGAACAGTCTTGTTTTCTCAAGTACCAATCACTGTTTTGTGTAGCCAGAACCGTTTGATTCGTGGTTGTCTTAGTGAATCTACCGATCATGTAAATAGGATGGTGTATCTGGACTATGGTATGAAATGAATGTAAATCACACATATTTGGAATATGCAGAAAGGATTCCTAAACAAGAACAAATGATGAAAATTGTTGTTGTTTCTTTAAGTGTTAGTTCTTTTTCTTTTTTTCCATGGCAAATAAATATATATTTTATTGAATCAGCAAATCACTGTTTGGCAAGCTCTTAAATTCACCTGCATTCATCTTATCTGCTCTGCATATTTAGCTAATCTATGAGTTATTAGATTCACTGCCATTTGAGCATCTCTCATTTTGCAAATTCATGTTAAAGTGGAAAAAAAGGCATGCTCTGCAAGTGTGGAATGCTGTTCCCATCTTCATAATTTGAAGCATCCTAATTCTTTCAATGCATATTAGTTCACAGGCATTGAAGATCTTTGGTCATATATTATAAACTACGATTTCATCTACAGAAATAAATAGCTGTGAATTTTGATTAAGTTGCTATAACCCGTAAGTTAACTATTTATCAGCAGTTAAGATTGGTCCAGAAAGACAATTCTTTGTTCTTTTAAGTGGACCTCACCTGTTTTTTTTTCTTCCTTCCTGGCATAAAGAAAAAACAGAACAGCAACTACCACTGTTGTATGTTTGTCAATGTTGCATGGTTGTCTTCTTTTGCTATTTTCTTTTGTGTCAACTTATTTTGTACCGAAGATGTCTTTTCCTTTTGCTAAGAAAGACATAAAACTGCTTGCAACATATCTCTCATTTCTTGTCTCTCCTCTCTCCTACCATCTTTATCTATTTGTGGTTTGTTAGTCAAATCCCTTCATGGAATGAAGCTTGTATCAAAGAATATGTGTGTTGCAATATAAACACACCATTTTGGATTTAATAACTCTAATACGTAAGTCGTAGATTGAATTTGGATTCTGCCAGTAAGATAAAATAAATTCAGAAGATTGAGAAATTATCTTTACAAAGTGAAAGGTAGAAGTCTCTTGTGGAAACTGAGGGCTATCTGCCAAATAAAAAAAATTAAAATCACATGGGAATTCCTAGTATGCTGGCAACCAAGATAAATTAACTGGGCCTAACCCATATAACAGCAATCTAAAATCACGAGTCCACAAGCGTGGAAGCTATAAGAGCATCTGCAACGGTGCTCTTCAGAGCCCAATTTCAGCAAGCAAATAGACTGTATGAAGTGCAGCGGGCTAGCTATAAGTGTTGGGGCTCATTAGCGATACCGCGAGCCGGCCCGCGATCGCTGAATTTTTTTTTTGTTTTTTGTTGCATCAAAACGGCGCCGTTTTGGGCTGCCGCTATTTTGTCTTATTATCCAGTTTGGCAGAATTTTTTTTTTTTTTAAAAAAAAAAAAACCTAAAAATAGGTTATTTTTAGCTCCTTTTAGGAAAATAAAAATAAAAATAAAATTCATCAAAAAAAAATATATATTGTTTAGGCACTATTTATAGAAAAAAAATTTATTTGGGCCAAAAATAAATTCAAAAAGCTTTTATTTTTTATTTTTTATTTTTCCTTAAATTTGTTTTTTTTTTTTGTTTTGTTTTTTTTTTTTTTTTGCTTTAAATTGTAATCCTTATTTTCTTATTCCAATTCATTAATTTTAATCCTTATTTTGTAATCCTTAAAAAAAAATTATTTGGGCTAAAAATAAATTCAAAAAGCTTTTGTTTTTTTTCCTTAAATTTTTTTTTTTTTTTTTTGCTTTAAATTGTAATCCTTATTTTCTTATTCCAATTTATTATTTTTAATCCTTATTTTGTAATCCTTATTTATTTGGGCCAAAAATAAATAAAAAAAGCTTTTTTTTTAACACTTTTTGTAAAAAAAAAAAATGTAAAATTACAAATTCATCTACTTATTCCCATAGAATTTTTTAATACTTATTTTCTTATTCCAATTCATTATTTTTAATCTTAAAAAACCATTACATAATAAAAATTCTAGTACATGAAATGTCAGAACATCTTAAAAGCAGACAAAATGCAACATAAATTAAACATTTTCATCAGCATAGCGGTTCCACAAATTTTCCTTCAAATCATTCCTCAACCATGTATTTGTCTCTCTGTTGCAAATTTAAAGTTGGCGAGAGGATGTGTGTGCCGCTAAAACTGATGGGCATCGACTTAAAGTGGGAATCGGGATTGCATCTTCTGGTGGCGGAGTCCATCTTCCAACATTTGCGTGACGCTCATCTTCAATGATCATATTGTAAAGGATGATGCACGTTTTCATTATGAGGAGCAAGTTATCTTTCTCCCAGTAACGCACTGGTCCTTACATTATTGCCCACTTGATCTGCAATACCCCAAAAGCCCGTTCCACATCTTTTCTTGCTGCGTCTTGTTGCTGAGCAAATAATTTTTCTTTTGTAGTGGTTGGGTGCGGGATGATCTGCATTAAAGTTGTCCACTTAGGGTATATACCATCAGACATGTAATACCCCATCCTATAGTGATGTCAATTCACTACATAATTAACCGGAGGTAATTGGCCATTGATGATGCCGTTGAATACCGAGGAATGATCCAACACATTTATATCATTGTGTGAACTCGGCATTCCGAAGAATGCATGCTAGATCCATAAATCTTGTGAGGCAATTGCTTCCAATATGAAAGTATTCTTATCAGATCGTCCCCTATGTGTGCCTTACCACTCCACTGGGCAATTCTTCCACTCTCAGTGCATACAGTCGATAGAACCAAGCATACCTGGAAAACCTCTCTACTCCCCTTTTTCAAGTATCTGTACTATGTCGTCTTCGTTGGGTGGGTGCATATATTCCTCTGCATACACAGCAACATTAACATTACAAAATGCCTTCAAACATTTAATGGCAGTGCTCTTGCCGATTTTAATATACTCATCATAGTGATCGGCTGCACAACCATATGCGAGTTTACGAACAGCAGTTGTCATCTTTTGTATAGAAGACAACCCTAGACGACCAGTCACGTCCTTTTTTTGGACAAAGTAGTCATCATAAGCTTTGACATCATTAAGGATATGAAGAAAAAGTTCTCGTCACATCCTGAATCGCCAGTGAAAGTACTCCGGTGGATATGTGCAATTCTCGTTGAAGTAGTCTTTCATTAGCTGATAGTGGCTTCCCTTTCGGTTACGATGAATGTACTGTTTCTTTTTACGGACTTGAAATACTTACTCAACTATCTCTGGCCTCACTGAATTCATAATCTCATAGAATTCGTTTTGATCCTGTTGAATCAATACCCCAAAAGGATCACTTTCCGAAGAGGATGACGAGGAAGATGAAGAATTAGAGTCTACCAAAGGAAAAACTTGTGATTACGAAGCCATTCGAATTTCGAAATTGAAAAAGATGGATGATGATATTTTGTTACAATGGAGAGAGATGAATATAGTGATGATTTTCAAATGAGCAAATGAGTTTCATTATATAAGATGAAAAATATAGCCGTTAAAAATTCAAATTTTAAAAATATAGTCGTTACAAATATAACCGTTAAAAATTCAAATTTTAAAAATATAGCCGTTAAAAATATAGCCATTAAAAATTTAAATTTTAAAAATATAGCCGTTACAAATATAGCCGTTTAAGAAAAGTTAAAAAAAAAAATTAATTTTAATTTTTTTTTTGTAATTTTTTTTGGAAAGCGAAAATTCGGAGAGCCTGAATAGATTATCCGTTACCCACTATCCATCGAGAACCAGCAGTAATAAGAGATTGAGTTAACCAAATACTCCTCCAAGCCCATGAAGGATTTGATCCTAACTGGGCTTCCAAAAATGAACAATACTGAAAGTACTTAGCTTTGAATAATTTGAACGCTATACCTCGCTGAAGAATTTGAAAGTTTCACCCATGCTTAGCCAATAAGGCCTCATTAAATGTTTCGAAGCTCCGAAATCCTAATCCCCCATCCTCTTTTTTCTCACATAAGGACTCCTATGAAACCCAATTTATACTTAGAGAATCTCCCAATTTACCCCACCAGAAGCGGCGAACATGTTTCATAAGTGATAAACATAATTTACGGGTCAACTTAAAGCAAGACATCACATAGGTGGGTAAAGCACCCAGAACTGCTTTGATTAAGAACCTCCTTACCAGCTGAAGACGATAAAAAGGACTTCCAGGAAGCTAAACGATCAAAAACCCGCCTGGTGGTGGCTATGTCGTCATACACTACAAGCTTGAGAGTGTGCATTAAGGCGAGGGCCAAGTTTTACATTTATAGAAGCCACTACTACCTTCACTAAAAATATAATTAGGGTGAGTAGGAATCGTCCCAAGGGATTAGAGTCGTACTTGGTTGTGGAATCGCTATTAGGGTTAGTAGGTCGAGTGATCAAATAAAATAGTTGGTTGGTTGATTAAACTAGAGAGCAAATTAAACTAAATAATGAAATGCAATAAAGAGTAAATAAGAGAGAGAGAGATTTTGGGGTTAAGAGGTCACCACCAAACAATACTTTTCTACACCCTTAACAAGTGACTAATGAAGGAAATGTGTGTTGCAATATTGATGTGTGTGTGCGTTTGGTTGATTCAATTAGCAAGGGTGACCAATTAAGCATATATTGTCTAATCAACATGTGAAAAGCACGATATATCTAGCAATTAAGTATATATTGTCTAAATAGCATGTGAAAAGCACAATATATCTAACAAGTCATTAATCATTTCATTAAGCTCACAAGCCAAATACACCACAAGGTTAGAGACATATGCTACTTGCATTCAAAAGTATGGAACATCAAACAACAAGCATGGATTGTTCTCTCATCTAACAACTATGCTACCACTACATTACAATTAAGCTAATGACATGAAATTAAGCTAAGGGAGAGGCACAATCCATCAAGAAATGAGCATGAACCATCTAGAAAATTACAAGAGCATTAATTTAAGTATAATGTTTTGACAATTTCTAGATCTATAACATTAATACACATAGACATGCATCAATAACACAAGAGATAGAAACAAACACATAAACATCTATTCTAGCATACATAGACATATGGTTATAATGAAATGATCAATTAGAAGCATTAAACCACATAAATCATTGAATAAACAAGATCTATAT